AGGAAAACTGGAAATTTGGCCACAAGTGTTAAGATCTAGGCAATGAATTAGTCAAATGCTTTTATGGAGAATCCATTTGTACTTGACATTAATTTAGGTTATCTGCTAGAAGGTCAGATTTCTTGGAAAAGTTGGAGCCAGGAGAACAGAGTGCTAGGCCACCAGATCCTGATGGCCTAAAGCATCTTGAGAAATGCACTCTGCTTCACACCTCTGCATCAGTGTGATCCTGACACTCATGCTTGTTACAGGAGGGTCATATAAGTAGCTGGTTTAATCATATTACTCCAGTGGCCTGAAAGTAACACACAAGTAAGTAACATACCAATAGTCTAGACAGCCAAAATCACTCAACAAAGCCAATATTCTGCATGGAGTCTTTACATCCCTAAGACAATTATATTACTGTGCAGTTTGCCATCAGAATGTAGATCTTGGCTCTTAGGAAGAGTTTATTAAAGCTGATTTTTAAATTCTCTCTCTAGCCCATCTGTTCTGCATCCTTTCAACAACTTTTGGGACTACATTTGACTAGGTAAGATCTTTATTTATTAATCCTGGTTAGATGGTAGAGAACTTTCCTAAATATTTCTTCCTCAAATGAAAGCATAATGTGGACACCTAACTTATGTTTTTCTCATGAAGAAATGTGTATTTCTGCATAAAATAAAGATTTGGTATCTAGAAATCACAGCAGCATTGCATTCTAGTAATCCTTCGCGTGTCATACTTGAAAAGATGATCAACTAACATTATCCCATTTGTATTCCATTGTCCTTTTACATGTTGCTGCTTTCAGCCCTAGATTCTTAGACCATGTGCACATCTGTCACAGAGGATCATTTATCTTGAGCATTCCAAGGGTTTGTGGCAGATACCATTCCTCCTTCCATATCCTACACTAGTCCAGGAAGAAATCTGTGTCCAGAAAGAGAATAGCCCTAGTAGAATAACCTTTACTGAGGCTTGACATCTGCTACCTTATAAGCTTCTTATACACTCAGCCTAATCCACCTGGAGGCTTTGCTGCCTGATGGAAGGTGATAAAAAAGTTGTTATGGTATAAGTCCTGTCTTAGATTCAAGGCATGTAGGCTGTGTAAGATTCTGAGGCTTAGGCAGACAGAGGGGGAAATAATTCTTAGTTCAGGTACAATTCTCAAGATGCTTATTAGGATGAACTCTGGTCTAAGAACAACTTTATTGGTATGAAAGTCAAGGCAAGGCTTCCTAATAGGAAGGAGGCTCCCAGCTTCCCAACATTTCAGAGGGGCTAATGTAATGGTGATCATAAAACTTGACAAAAACCGACAGGAACCAAGAAGCCCAAGTCTAGAAATTTACAATCCACAGAGGATCAACAGCTTGTATTCTGGATATCTTAAAGGTGAACGCTCTAAAACACCCATCTGCCAGTGGTGATGAAAACCTGGACGCCCATAGTTATAAATAATTCAGTCTGTTTCTTACACAACTAAGGCGAGGGCCTAAATTCGAAATTCAATTGGGTTTTTTTATTTACACCCTTGGCCAAGAAAAGAAAGCTCATAGATGGAGCTTCTAAGAATAATGGAAGCATGTCTCCAAGGAGAGAGGGAGACTTTGAGATAACTTACTAAAAAACTGCTTCTCTGAGTAATAGAATAATTGCTTCTCAGAATCATAAAATGAAATGAAAATGTAAACTATAGTGGAGGAACTAAAAATGTAAGCTATAGTGTAAACTATAGTGGAGGAACACTATAAACTATAGTGTCATTGTATTATACAAGATTTTTACTTTTAAATATTTGTGGATACATAGTAGATGTATATATTAATGGAGTACACACAATACTCTGATACAGGCATGCAATGTGTAATAATCACATCAGGGTAAATGGGGTATCCATCGCTGTAAGCATTTATCCTTTGTGTTACAAACCAATTATGCTCTTTTAGTTATTTTTTAATGTATAATTAAATTATTATTGACTATAGTCACCCTGTTGTGCTATCAAACGCTGTCTTATTCATTGTTCCTATTTTTATTTTGTACTCATTAACCTGCTATTTCTCCCACCCCCAATACCCTTCCCAGCCTCTAGTAACCACCCATTTATTCTCCATCTCTATACATTCAATTGTTTTGATTTTTAGCTCCCACGAATAAGTGAGAACATGCAAAGTTTGTTTTTCTGGGCCTGACATATTTCACTTCACATAATGACCTCCAGTTCCATCCATGTTGTTGCAAATGACAAAATCTCATTCTTTTTATGGCTGAGTAGCACTCCATTGTGTATGTACCATATTTTCTTTATCCAGTAATCTGATGATGAACACTTCAGTTGCTTCCGAATCCTGGCAGTTGTGAGCAGTGCTACAGTAAACATGGAAGTGCAGATATCTCTTTGATACACTGATTTCCTTTCTTTTGGGTATATACTCAGCAATGTGATTGCTGGATTGTATGGTAGCTCTACTCTTACTTTTTTAAGGAACCTCCAAACTGCTCTCTACAGTGGCTGTACTAATTTACGTTTCTGCCAATGGTGTTATCAGTGTTCCATTTTCTTCATTTCCTCACCAGCATTGGTGAGGGTTATTGTTTGTCTCTTGGATAAAAGCCATTTTAACTGGGGTAAGATGATATATTGTTGTAGTTTTGATTTGCCTGTCTCTAGTAATCAATGATGCTGAGAACTCTTTCATGTCTGTTTGCCATTTGAGAAATACCTATTTGAATATTTTGCTTTTTTAAAAATGAGATTATTAGATTTCTTTTTCTATAGAGTGGTCTGAGCTTCTTATACATTGGTTAGTAATTCCTTATCAGATGGGTAGTCTGCAAATATTTTCTCCCATTCTGTGGGTTGTCTCTTCACTTTGTTGATTGTTTTCTTTGCTGTGCAGACACTTTCTAACTTGATGTGTTCCAGTTTGTACATTTTTGCTTTGGTTGCCTGTGCTTGTGCAGTATTACACAAGACATTTTTGTCCAGACCAACATCCTGGAGAGTTTCCCCAATGTTTTCATATAGTAGTTTCTTAGTTTGAGGTCTCAGATGTAAGTTTTTAATCCATTTTGATTTGATTTTTCTGTATGGTGAGACATAGAGGTCCAATTTCATTCATGAGAGCATTTTCTTGCCCTGAAGCAAAAAAATGGGATTCCTAGTGCTCAGCAAACACACTTCAGAGGGAAATTATTTATAGTCTGCTTTGAAAGAATAGTTTATTCCTTTTAATAAATTTCCAGTGTTGAAAAATCTGGTATTTTGGAAAGGTATTTGTCCACTGATAAACTGTGTACATTTTTCTCTCTCATATATTTCTGATTAGATTATAGAAATATAGAATATCTATATTATATCTATATTACCATTATAACTATATTACCAATATCTATATATAATGTGTTATCACCACACATTGCCTCCTCTTTCCACATTACCTGGTTTTCTATCCACATGTACTAATTTGAGGAGGAAAATAAGTTGGGTTTGGGGGTATGTGTATATATATATATATATATATATATATATGTATATATTTTTAGTAGAGACGGGGTTTCACCACGTTGACCAGGATGGTCTTGATCTCTTGACCTCGTGATATATATACACACACACACACCACCTGATCAATGATAATATAGATATTGGTAGATATTGGTAATACAGTAATATATATATTACTATGTGTTTTATATATATATATATATGTATATATATGCATATATATATATATATATATATATATATATATATATCACCTGATATGTTGTTGGCAGGTATAAGATAAATAAGTCTCATCATCACTGATATAACCAATTCTGTGTCCTTTGAAACATACACATAGGCCGGGTGCAGTGGCTCAAGCCTGTAATCCCAGCACTTTGGGAGGCCGAGGCAGGTGGATCACGAGGTCAAGAGATCAAGACCATCCTGGTCAACATGGTGAAACCCCGTCTCTACTAAAAATACAAAAAATTAGCTGGGCATGGTGGCACGTGCCTGTAATCCCAGCTACTCAGGAGGCTGAGGCAGGAGCATTGCCTGAACCCAGGAGGAGGAGGTTGCAGTGAGCCGAGATCGCGCCATTGCACTCCAGCCTGGGTAACAAAAGCGAAACTCCGTCTCAAAAAAAAGAAAAAGAAAAAGAAATATACACATATTTGAATATTAGAACTTCTGAGAAAACCTGTACTTCAAGTAAAGTGGGTGATATACCTAATTTCTTCACAACTGTAATACAATCTCCATCAATACTCACAACAGATAGGAAATTATTTTAGCCTTATGTCATAGAATAATAAAATGTGAGCCTGGGAGGATGCAGTGACTTGCTCAAGGTCACACAGCTAGGAAAGGTTAGAATTGGCATTCCCGATTATTAATCTTGTGCTCTCTCTAGCACAGTATGCTGCCTTTAGTCTGAACCCTAAATGGACCACATTCCACAAGAGCTAATGATATTCGTAAACGCCATTATGAGTAAGTTATTTATCTTACCTAATGTCCATTCTTCCTGAAAGAGATGTCTGTATTTGTCATGAGCTAAAACAGTAGCATTCTACCCATCTGGCAAGAACATGACTGCCCTGAGTTGCTAAGTTTAGGCATATCAGATAAAGTGTAAGTATGTAAAGTTACAATGATTTTATATCTCCTAGTTGAGATAATGCCACTGAGAAACATTTGCAGTTGAATTGAACAAGTGCAGTTTTGATTAGTTTTAAAAGACAAAATATAATATTTTTTCCCAAATCAAAAAGAGAAGGTCAATGGCAACAAAATGAAGCTCTTATTCTAAATAAATTCAGTTTAATATCTATTTGCTGAATTTCAATAATATATATACAGAATAATTTGAGCTATCTATGCATATAAATGATACTTTGCATTGGAAACATTCATAGGCAAATACCCAAACAAATGAAACATTTAAAACATACAATGGCGCCCAATGCAAATGAATCCAACATAATAGTTTTGGCTACCGTTCTTCCAGGCTTACCATGTTCCAGGCCTTGTGCTAAGTGGGCATTATCTCATTTCATCCTCACAGCAACCCTACAAGAAAAAAAAAACAAAAAACCACCATTTCTTACAATTACAGATAAAGAAACCAAGGTTCTGTAAAGTTAAGTGACTTGTCTGAGCCCCTGAGGGAGGAAGGGGCAGAGCTGGGGATTGAAAGAAGATAGACAGAGGACCCAGACCCAGTGTGTTATCACCACATATGGCCTCCTCTTTTCACATCACATGGTGTTCCATCCACATGTACTAATTTAAGGAGGAAACTAAGTTTGATTTGTTTTTTTTTAGTTATATTTTTCCATTTTTTTATTGCATTTTGAGTTTTGGGGTACATGTGAAGAACATGTAAGATTGTTGCATAGGTACACACGTAGCAGTGTGGTTTGCTGCCTTCCTCTCCATCACCTATATCTGGCATTTCTCCCCATGTTATCCCTCCCCAACTCCCCACCCCCTGCTGTCCCTCCCCTATTTCCCCCCTACAGACCCCAGTATGTGATGCTCCCCTCCCTGTGTCCATGTGTTTTCATTGTTCAACACCCACCTATGAGTGAGAACATGCAGTGTTTGATTTTCTGTTCTTGTGTCAGTTTGCTGAGAATAATGGTTTCCAGTTTCATCCATGTCCCTACAAAGAACACAAACTCATCGTTTTTTATGGCTGCATAGTATTCTATGCTGTATATGTGCCACATTTTCCCTGTCCAATCTATCATCAATGGACATTTGGATTGGTTCCAAGTCTTTGCTATTGTAAACAGTGCCACAATGAACATTCATGTGCATGCGTCCTTATAATAGAATGATTTATAATCCTTTGGCTATATAGCCAGTCATGGGATTGCTGGGCCAAATGGAATTTCTATTTCTAGGTCCTTGAGGAATCACCACACTGTCTTCCACAGTGGTTGAACTAATTTACACTCTCACCAACAGTATAAAAGTGTTCCTTTTTCTCCACATACTCTCCAGCATCTGTTGTCTCCAGATGTTTTAATGATCACCATTCTAACTGGTGTGAGATGGTATCTCATTGTGGTTTTGATTTGCATTTCTCTAATGACCAGTGATGGTGAGCATTTTTTCATACGTTTATTGGCCTCATATACATCTTCTTTTGTAAAGTGTCTGTTCATATCCTTAGCCCACTTTGAATGGGCTTGTTTTTTTCCTGTAAATCTGTTTTAGTTCTTTGTTAATTCTGGATATTGCTCTTTGTCAGCTGGGTATATTGCAAAATTTTTCCCCATTCTGTTGGTTGCCGATTCACTCTAATAACTGTTTCTTTTGCTGTGCAGAAGCTGTGGAGTTTGATTAGGTCCCATTTGTCTATTTTGGCTTTTGTTGCCAATGATTTCGGTGTTTTGGTCATGAAGTCCTTGCCTATGCCTATGTCCTAGGTTTTGCCTAGATTTTCTTCTAGGGTTTTAATTGTGTTTGGTCTTATGTTTAAGTCTTTAATCCATCTGGAGTTAATTTTAGTGTAAGGTGTCAGGAAAGGGTCCAGTTTCTGCTTTCTGCACAGGGCTAGCCAGTTTTGGGTGTCTCATGGATTTCTTACATATCGAAAATAACAGAATTTTTTCATGGGGGACACAGTAAGGAGTCCTGTACCAAAAAATATGATTACTGCCTGGTTCTGTTGGGCTTCTCATGCCACTAAACCACCTCTTGGTGTAGTCATGAGTGAGAGAATAGGGAAAGGGCAGTTATGGCAACTTCAACATGATGAAAGTAAGGCAATCAATAACCAGATCCCTCAAGGAACAGGACATGAGGCCCACCATGAACCAACTAAAAATTTGGCTGACAGTGAGAACAACCCAGCATGAGTAGAAGAGGAGAGCTGTATCTTCATTAATTACGTCCCAGATGTAGCAGAGAGGACTATAGCTATCTGTCTTAAGTCTTTCTGAAATGTCAAGGACAAAGTAGAACTAATATGACACACAGGGGTCACTGAGTCAGGTAGAAGGTGGGCTGTAGTGAATGCCACATCCCTTTGGCCACCTTGGCTGTTAGCTGCAGCCCTATTGAACACCTCCATGCACATTGGCAGCATCCTACCTCAAGTTCCCCACCAGAATCACCTTACTTTTCTGCCTCTGGAATTTTTTTTTAAACAATAGAATCTCTGACAGCTTGTTCACAGGGCAGGCCATAAGTGCAGGGGAGTTAACTTTCCTAAGGGCAATGCTCAGCTTGTATCCATGCATACATATTGAGAACAAACTGCCTGCCACCACATAGCTTAACAGGAGCCAGAACTAAGACTACTCATATTAACAGGTCTTTATTATTCTAGGACTCAGCCTTAACCAGCTTTATGGTTTGGAGTGTCAAGTTACTAGTCTGTAAAGAGGGGACTAGACAAGATTAAAAGATGAATGGCAAAGATCACCAAGGTCACAATTACTTAGAAGAAAAAACTTCTAGATTGAAAAGTGTACCTTTAAGCCTAGGATTAAGTTCCTAACTAGTGATGAAAGGTCAATACATGTTCATTGGAGTAAAGAGTGCAAAGATTTAGAAGAAATGGCTCTAATAATGTTTTATCCATAAACAAAATGCATGAAAACATCCGCATTTTGTTTATGTGGAAATTTGCCTCACAAGATCTATGTGTATGATGGTGGTAGGACACTCCACTGGGCCCGGAAGGCCTAATTATTGCCACAAACAAGCTGTGAGCTGCCAGGTGGCCATTTCATTTCTTTGGGCTTTAGTTTATGCATTTGTAAAATTAAAGAATTGAACCAAATCATCTCAAGATATCTTGTGCCTAAAATTATTAGATTTTCTAATTTATATCCCCATAACTTGTGTTTTCAGAATGACTTATTCTGTTTTGATGAGGAAGGCAGTTGGCAGTCAGCCTCCAATTACATCTCCAAAAAATAAAGACAAGTGGCATCGTGTTTAATCACATGCAGTCAGTATCAAGTATGTATTACAGGTATCATAGATAATACAGAAAGAACCTATTGATTCTCCCCCTATTCTAGGACTCAGCCTTAACCCACTTTATGGTTTGGAGCATGAAGTTCCTAGTCTGTAAAGAGAAGGGAGTTCTTGTATTTGCCGTCTAGATCTTTTCTAACCCTAAAAACCTAAAGACTAATGGCATCCCTTACTTGCCACAGTTTGTCTATGTTGTTTATTTCTCACCCATTGCTTCGCTAAGGAAACTAACATTGCCACAGAGACCAGAGGGAATAGGGAAAGGGGCAACCATAATTCAAGCAGCTGGTTTTAGAGTCACTAAAACAACTGCTGTTCTCTTTTTAACCTTCAAGTTAAAAAGTGAGTGAACTATTTCAAACGTTAGCTAAATATTCCTACCAAATCTAGTGTAGTAGATTTGGATGTGGAGTAGAGAGAACTGAATTATAATTCTGACTCTGTCACCTGCTGGCTGTGTCACCTGGGCACATCATTTCAACACTCTGTGATCCTGTTACCCCAAGTGTAAGATGAGGCTAATAGAAAGGAGATGCTGTAGAGATTCAGAATGATTAAATATAGTTACCTACATGAGAGAACTGGCATAGCACCAGGCACCTAGAAGACCTTCACTGAATGATTTGGAAGGAGGATCTAGCTATCTGCCAAAGAGAAGAGAATAGGAAACATGAAAACACTAATGAGTATAAACAGAAAGAGTACTGGATGCAGTGAGATTTGGGTTCTAATCTCAGTCTTCACTAGCTAAGAGTCCTTGAACAAGTCAGGATCTCACCTTTTCTCACCTTGATTTCTTCATCTGTAAAAAGTTGGGTTTAAATGCCATGATTCCTACGATTCTGCTTTTATATTCCAGGATTCTGCAATGACGTTAGTTTGCCATTGCTGATGTTAATGTTGTTTTCTACTCAGTGATCCACATTCCAAGAAACCATTCTTGGAATGGAATAGGATTCCTAAACCATCTCATCCTACTCATTCATGATAGTGGAAAAATAATCAGTTCTTTATTATTTAGGCCACAGACATGACTCAGAGCATAAAAGTATGAGTAGAGGAAAGCTATCGACCTTAAAGAAAAAGTGCTAATAAACTTCTTAATAATCTACTTTAGAATTATAATTTTCAATTGGAAAAATAAAGCCCTGTGAATTTTCCAAAAACCAGTAGAAGTAACATTAGCCTTTTTTTCCCTAATAACAAGGTGGTTATCTCCACTGCCTTCTAGAATATCTGTATCTGTTATTCTTACTCCCCATAAGCCCCCAAGCCTATTACTACGCTCCTACAACCATACATTCAAATTGACCCTTGGAATCTCAAGCAATGTCCTTCAGTTGACCTGCAAAATGGGTGTTGCCTCTGCTAGTAAAGAGACTAGACCTCTCCCTGGAACAACATCATATCCCATGGCATCTCTATTCCTCTTCTTTCAATTAAAGGCTGAGCAGATTTAATTTTCTGCTCAGAATAGATTAAGCTCAAGGTAAGTAGAAACTTACAGTCTACCCCAGGAAAATTGCAGGTAGCAGACCTTCTTTCTCAAACAACGTAAGTTTCTAAAATTTCCTTTCACCTCACATTAAAGTTTTAAAACACAGTATATAGTACTCTTTATTCCAAATATTAAAGTGCATATTCATGGTAAAAATGAGAATTTCTCAAATAGATAGAGTCCTAAAAATCATCTAGAGATGACAAAAACTAAGTTTCAATGCACATGGCAATTCTAAATGTCATGGAGATGTTGCCTGGAGTACTATGTTGTAAAGGACTGTGAACTGCATTTACACTCAGTGGGGATGCTGTGCTTAGTGAGCCAGCACTGCTTAGAAGAATGGGAGAAGAAGAAATAGTTCATGCCTTTTGTCCTTGACCTCCTCTAGTGATCAAATACAGCTGTTGGGCCAAATCCGGCAGCACCTATTCATTTACATACGTTCTGTAGCTGCTTTCCCTCTGTAGCAACAGAGTTGAATCTTGCATCAGAGTGTGTGGCCCACAAAAAAATATATTTGCCCTCTGGCTCTTTACAGAAAAAGTTTGTCCACTCCTGATTCTAGTTCAAC